AAGATAAAAAAAATTAGAACAAATACATATAAGTATTATTTGATAAATGTATTAAAGCAAAATCTATTATAAAAGCTATATCAGTAGATTTTTATTTTATGAAATTACTAAATTCTGCTAAATCTATTAGCAATTTAAAGTAATATTCTATTAGCAAATTCTTTCAAAATGGACATATGAGTAACCACAAAAGTCAAAACAAAAAGATATCCTAATTAAGGCTCTGGTATAAAATTTGAAGAATATATACAAAAATACTAAATTGACCTGAGAATTACTAAAACCAAATAGCAAATTGCATCAAAGGTAATAATTATACGAAGTAGAACAACAACCTACAATATTAAAGTCAATATAATATTATCATTATGTAAATATTGAAGATTATATGGTTGAGCAAATGGCACACCACAATTGACCATATTCCAAAACTATTTTAGGTTATGCAGTACACAAGGCTTTAATGCTATTATAGAACCCTTTTTCCTTGAGCAATCTAATAAAAAACTCATTCAGCTGAATCACTTACACGTTCAAAAATATATTTTCGTTGTGCCAACTTTCCCACTATAAAGGCAGCAAAAGGAAATACAGCAAGAGTAAGACTGCAAGCAAAGCACAACAAATAATATTATTATAGAAATGTCATAAAAATTATTGTATAAACAATATAACTAAAATAAAAAAAAAGAAAGAAAAATTAGATGAACATTACCATGTTTGTAGCTTAATTTAATTACCTATTATCTTAAAATTAACATTTATTTTTATCTCTTTTTGTTACAACAATCATCTTATTTTATATCTTTCTTTTTACTATTTCTTACTTTGTTGTATAAGAATTATACAAATTTATTGCACAAGCTTTTGTCTTGATCTTGTGATATTGCTGCACACCTAGCTGTACATGGACAACTAACAAGCCGTCCAAGGCCAACAAATGGCAAGTCCTTGTTTTTTAAGTAGTATGGCCAACTGGACATAGTTAATCACATCTATTTTTTGTTATTGTACACACTATGTATATGTATATATACATATCACAAGACCAAGCATAAGCCATAGCAATTACAACTTTCTATTTCTTTTGTAAATTCCAACTATGGAAAAATGCAAGCACGTTGTGGAGCTTGCAACCCTTCTTGGCCTCATCATTTTCATGCTTAGTGTCAATCCAACTTCAACTGCTGAAGAGCATGGCAACAACTTGTTGACTTACATTATTCATGTCAAAAAGCCCGAGGATGGAACTCTTCTTCAATCCCAAGAGTTGCACAACTGGTACAAAGCATTAATCTTGTCAATAATAATAAAGCAAATGAACTATGCCAACAACACCAACCCTTCATCATACATGTAATTACAACTTTAAAGCTAAGGTAAATATCTAAACATTCAAAACCCTTTTCCTTTCCATTCCTAAACTTCTCCAATCTTCACTTTCAAATCTAAACCATGCTTGAGGAATCAATCTCATCCACACTGACATTCTAGGGCACCCTCTTCACCTGGTTCAATCCCACTGTCTTCTTTCTCCACCTCCAACTAGTAATTGGAACCATTTTCATCATTTCAAAACTTGCCAACATTACCCACAAACAACAAGATCCTTAAGTACATGACTTTCCACACCCACAACAACAAATCCCATGACCCACAAATCCATGTTGCAAAGACTCAAATCCATCAACTTCTACTCCTACCCTTACAAATCCCATGACCCACAAATCCAAAACCCCCGTTTTCACAACACCCCACAATTTCAAACTCAAACCTATGAACATGAACATGAACACTCCCAACTTGATAGATCTCCTTCTATGCTTCAAAGACACAAATCTATCAACCGCTATAGTTACTTCCCCATCGAACCCTTCACTTCCAAACTCACAACCAACACCAACACCACCGTTTTCAAGACACACGTGCCCGACAACACAAATGCATATATGTAGAATAAATTGTTGAGTTATGACATACCTTTTTGTGGAAGCGGCTGGTGGAAGAGAAACGTAGCAGTGAAAGAGAAGCAGAGCAAAGAGGAGCAAAATAAGCATGAAGCTTGGAGAGCCAATGGAGAGATAGGGTTCCTACGATTCGTATAAAATTTGAGATTTTGAGTAAAATTTCTAAGTCAGGGCTAACCCATGGGTAACTCTACCCTAACCCATATATTATTGGCTAAATAACTTAGGGCCAAATTATTATTTTTAATTAATTATAATATTTAGGGCTAGATGGGTTAGTTTAAAGTTAGGTAGGGTTGGCCCTAAGGCCTTAACCCTTTTTGACAGGTCTAATGAATGATTGATATATGATGTAAAAGTAGAATTGAATAAAATAGAAATAGAAAAAAGATGAAAAATATGTTACCCTAAAAGTGATAAACTTATGATAGGATGAGAAATGAAAAAGAGAGAAACTATAATGAGAAAAATGAAAAAGTGAAATGATGATGAGAAAGGAAAGATCATAAAGATAAGTGTGGATAGTTCAAAGATATACTAGAAATGTGGAAGATAGAGACGATTTTAAAAATCATGGAAAAATGAGGGTAGTGGATGTTTTTCTTTAATTTTCACATAACTAATGAGAGTAAAAGCACCACAGACCTCACAGTCATTTCCTGACCTAAACTCCTGACCATATTTTTGCTAAAAAGGATTGAGTCAGTATACGTTGTATCTATGTGCTGCGATTATCCAGCAACTATCTATACTAAGGGAGATTTCAAGGGATCCCAAGGGCATTGAATGATTGAAATAAGGAATTTAGGAATATTAAAAAGGATGATGGAAGGAAATCATAATATTTAGGATCATTGTATGTATATGAAATTACTCTAGAATGTATTTGTTATTCATGTATGTCTGAGTTGATATTACTATCAATCATGTTTAGTAATGTGAAAATAGGCTCATCCTTACTAAAATGTTTTAGGAAAGCAGGATGATCACTCCACCGATAATGTTTAGTCTAGAAGTAATGATGTATAATAGGTTAAATTTCGTACTTAGAGAGTGGCAGCAGCATTGTCACTATAATTTCATAGTAGATATTAGTAATGAACCTAGTAATGTATATACCATGGAAATGAATGTAGAATATAGTATTCCTTTTTATGGAAGAATTTACCATTCTCTCAGTTTGTACATATACCGAGGAACGGTCTGACCACCAGGCACGACAAATTATGTATATACTTTCTACGATCACGATCATCTGGAAAGGCACACTCGATCCACTTTTGATGGAAAGACATTACAAATGTAACGAGTGAAGCCAATGATCTCTATATCAAAATGTATAAACAACACTCAAAGCATTAGCACAGCCCCCCATATACAACTGAATTGAAAATAGTAATAAGGAAGCATTCAACAAATGGAAATATCCTCCTTTAATATGCCATCTTTTATCTACTCCAATACTCTAATAGTATTCTAGAAGATCTAATCTCGACAAACTTCAATTATGAGTCTCCCAAGTTCTGAGTTCATAGAAAATGTAATCCATGAATGCAAATAATGACGATGGAAGTGGGCGATCCATGCAATCCCATAATTCATGATTAGAATGAAAACATAAAGAATGGGTAAAGAATTATAATGATTGGTATTGCATTAGAAGAAAATCACAGGAAAGAAAGATAAATGAAAATGTAAAATAAAGAAAGGACTAATCGAATAAAAGACCAAAAACTAGGTCAAATCATAGATTGGCTGGCTATAAAAGTTTCAGAAGAGCTAAGAAAAAAAAAGAGAAATTGAAAGAGTATTTTCAACAGATGGTTTATCACTTTAATCACTTTTTTTTGGGGGGTCAAATTTATCACTTTAATGCAAAGTTGCTCTGTTTCTACCCCCTCAGCAACCATTAATAGCCGGCCCAATCCATTCTGTTAACAAAAAAGATTGCGAAGATTGCAATCAATAATAATTCAAATAATAAAACTTTACCAAACCAAATAATAATAATAATAATAATTTATTTCAAAAATTTGTAACATCTTCATTTGGCTTTGGTTTTATAAAAAAAAAATTAAAAATTGAATTACCGTTCTGAATGCACGACATTCTAAAACTTTAAAAGCACCCATCATTAGTCATATTCACTCGAATATTTTACATATTGTCTAACACCTGCATGATTTAGCAGTGTTTTACATTATATTTGTATTATTTTCTGCATCCTTTTATAAATTTAAATATCTTCTAATCCCTGTAGTTTTATATAATTTTAATTTTAGTTCGTCAAATTTTTCATAGTTTTAGTCCATAATTTTCTTAAAAAGTCAACACTTTAAATCCTTAAATCTTCAGTGATGACGTGACAATAATAATTATTTTAAACATAGTAGGACTAACTGGATTCCTAACATTTTTTAAAAACCAGCATCATGTTCGATCTATGTCAGGTGTCACAACTGAAGAATCACTTAATACTTGGCAGGCCCTTCTGTGAATTTTAATCTTGAATAAGGTCGAAGGTCTCACCAACGACCGGCAAAAAGTTCGTATCTGCAAAAGCATCCGCACCAGACGTGATTCAACACTGCTTAAATTAACTTAACATTCGAATTGAAAACACACAAAAACATTGGAAATAATGGAGGGCGCCGCGTAACTAAAGTAACACTATATTCACATTTTAGAATATGTAAATTGAACGCAATAATTTTTAAGACTGGCCATATTTCCTCTAATATGAATAAGTTGGCTCAATGTCCGTTTTGCTGCAAATAGATGACAGGAGCATAATGTCATGTCGTACATCAATGAAATTAACAAATATTACACTTTTCCTCTTTTCACAGCCCTAACAGACGTGAATTTCTGGATCTAGCGAAACCCAAAACAAATGAAACCTGCATTTATTAACAGGATTGCACCAGTCCAATTTAACGAAGGAAATTGACACAAGCATAAAAAAATTGAATTAAAATGTAGAAAGCAGAGATAGAAAGGTATTCCCAAAAATATGACAGACAAGGGAGGAATAAAAAACGCAGAGAAAATTAAAAGAGATTCTATCTGCAAGTTCCACAAATCTGTTTGGGCATCATTTTATCCACATCCTTGTTTCAAATTAAAAATTAGAGTCAGTAAGCCTAAAAGCTGCTGAGAGTAAAAAGAATACTTTAGAGGTTCAGCATTGGGAGTAGCTTTTAACAACTGAAACAACGTCACAACTTGTAAAATACAGACCAGCAAAAGGATGAAAGTTACCTTCAACCAGAATCCAACTTTGTGCAACCAACAATCTCGAGGATGGTAACAAACCAAACAGTAGCAATAGCATTGGCACGTGACTCGCTAGCATTTCAATTCATGCACATGAAAGTGGTGTAATCAGTATTAACTGCAGAACTATTTGATGGTTAACGATGCTGAGGCAGCTGCTGCTTCTGCTATTAAGGAAATAGGTTGACGTGCCTGCAGGCAGGCACCTATATCAAATGGGTGCAACTCAGAACCATCAAAAAGAAGATTTACTCCAGGATGGATTACTTCTTTACTATCAATTTCATCTGGTTCAGGTTTAATTGCGTTGGCTTGAGTGACTTCAGCTTCGTAAACAGGAGTTAAGACATAAGATCTGTATGACCATCCAAAAGCGATGTTTCTGAGAATTAGTGTGATTAAACCACCAAATTTGTTGCCTATAACGAATAGATGGAAGGAATTATACCAGGTTTCTTAATATTTCAATGTCTTAGTAAAAATTATTGCCATTTTAATTTTAAACTACTATGATCATCTCCACTCACACAACAACATTAATTAAAAAACAATGAAAAAAAATAAAGAAAAAAAAGCAATGGATGTCAATGTTGGTCTGTATTTAGTTAGTGGAATAAGAGGGAACAGTCTTAGTCTCAGAAACCAGAGACAACGGAAACATCTAAAATTGCCTTAAATCAAAGGGAAATTACCAAAAATAACAGAAATATTTGGAGCATGTTGAAAGGAGGGGGCAGGTCTGTGTTGATAATACATGCAATGCATGTCAAAATTGCAGGACCCATGATCTGAAACACCCTTGAAGTGACCAGGATAAGTAGCAAAAGTGCTCGGGATCTCTCATGCAGGGTTGCAAGTTTTTAGAAGTGTGAAGCTGGTGATGCATGGTAGTGCATGTATAAGATGACAGCAGCACAACTTCAAGTTTGGTGTCAAGACTCAAGAGTAAGCAGTTATGATCCCAGGGATTGCCAGACTAGATCTGAAAGGTTTGAGGTCACTGGAAAACTTATCTGCAGTGAAAAATCTCCAAAAATATTCACAAAAGGGTGGAGTCACTAGCAGTATTGACAAACAAAGGGGAAGGGATTGCCATGGAGCAGTGGGCACAGAAAATTTAGGGTTTCAGGAGAGATGGGTTGACAAACACTCCAATACTAACTTCAGAATTACAAGAACAAATTACAATAAAATCAGGGATAAAATTGTTTTCAGACAGTCACCATATGGTCACTATGTTATTGTTAGTATTAATTACAATGACTTAATCCTAATTATACAGATATATAATCCTATATTAGTTCCTTAGATTGCTTCTAATAAATTCCACAAAGTATACATGATATGCTACCATAAACATCTAAGGTATTCTACAATGGTAGTTAAAATCTCAATTTAAATTATAAAATTCTACGATTTTATGATTTTGGAAGCCTTACCAATTTAAATCTTAGTTGCATAAAATCATTGTAAAATCCTGATTTAAATCATAAAACCCCTCGATTTGAAGGATTTTATGATTTCACTTTGATTCTGAAAATTCCTTGAAAAGTGTCATTTGTTGAACCCTAATGTAGTTGACACCTCTTTCATATCTCTTTTTTATTGAACCCAATTTACCTCCAGCAGCTTTGAACCCTAAAGTCGTGGTCAATTCTACAGTCCTCCCAATGTGAGCCTGGTCTGCGGCTAAACCCTAAGTTTGAGTCTAGTGCTCCTGTTCTTTCATCTTTTCTGTTCTACTATATTTTTAACTCATGCCAATGGATGACATTCTTACAGAATATGGATTATGATTTGTGAGTGCTACTTAAATTAAGTGCCTTTACTGATTTAAAGGTTTTTTTTTCCTAATTTATGCTATTTTATATGCATAATATGAATTTATAAAGATATATAAGAATTTTGTAAAATCTTGTGATTCAATTTACGATTTTCACTACCCTTTACTATTTAAAGTAAAATTCCAATTTTAACTATCTTGGTTCAAACAATCTTAAAATATCCATTGATTTATATGAAGTGAAAATTATGCAATCTTCAATAATTGAACATTTAGAATTTAACAAACCTAAGAATGCTGCCATCAAAGCTTAAAACTTCAGTTCCGCAGCGGTGTCGATGAGCAAGTTTTAACCTTTGATACTCACTTGATGCCCCTGAAATGGGAGAAGAAGGATCTATAAGTGGATTCCACTTCCCACTAGCATAATTCATAAGTTTTCGTGGGGATTCTTTAGCTGACTCCTTTTGGTAAAGAACCTTTGCAGCAGGACCTAATGCTTGGTACTCAGTACAAATGTCACGCAAATTTTTCCTTAAGCTTTGCATTGCATGATGGTGTTCTTCAAATGACTGAGATTGAAGTAATTCAGATGAAATCACCCTTTCACATATATTATTACACAACTTTGGACTGAACAGGGGCATCCCAAATTCAACACTCAATGGAACCCATTCATATTTCTCTTCTTTAGGTGAGAACTGATCTGATTCCCTTCCATTATATAATTTCAGTAGGCGAATATACCCAACTGTCCACAGTTCCATCTTGTTTGCCAAATCAGTCAAGAGAGAATTCAGCTTTGAACTTTCCTCTTCACATATTCCTAATTCTTTTCCAACAGAGATAATTGATCCATCAGAGTTCTTTAAGGGCAAAGGGATATCCATTGTAATCACCTTTCCAGATTCGTCAAGGTCAAACCTACTGAGAGGCTGCACCAGCACGGCTGAATGTTTAAGAAGTGAATTTAAACAATGCAAGAGTATACTTCCCTTCACTAAATTTCCTTCAAGCTTCCCTCCCAACCCTCCTACTGCAGCACCATCCCAAGACCATATGAGAGCTTTCTCACAACCAGCCAATGGAGCAGGAAGCAAGCGCAGACACTGTCCTTTCATCAGAACAACTGATAGAGGCCCACTAGCTACAGTTGAATATAATACCAATTTCATCCAAGGAGTCATAAAAGTATATGAGGGGGGACCAAAATGTACCAGACCTGTGGGTCCAGGAAGAACTGATGAATGAGGAAGAGGCACTATAGACACAATTATATCATAATCGCGAACAAACAAACGATCAAGAGTTGCTGGTGCAAGAGAAGCCAAGCTTTCACAGCGGAGAATGTCAACACGATATTTCTTTATTCTCTTCAACATGTCTGTTCCAACATCTGAACCTTCAACCATTAGTTGCTCATCAGTCTGGAGATTCCCGTCTTCATTAAATTTCTGTATGTTACTACCATCACCTTCCAAAGGAATAGAACAGGTTCCACCCACAATATCATTATGAACAGCCTCAGAGGAAGCAGAAGCAGCTACAGACTTCTCTAAATCTGAATTTAATAAATCATAATTATTCATTCCAGCTTCTGCAATACCAGGGTCTCCTGATTTGTCAGTCAAAGAGATTTCAGCTATTAGAGAACTGGACTCATCATTGCTTGCAATAGTCATGTGTATCTTATCAGAACCTTCATCCACTTTTGCATTGGAAGCAACTCCACCAGACTGTAAACATTCTAATACACAACGCAGGCTAAATGCATGATTTGCAAATTCCTGCAGTTCTCCCTCAAATTTGGCACCTTCCAGAGTGCTAAGATCCTTGCAAAGATCAGAAATGCTGGCATGACCCAATTTCCCCGCTTCATAGAGTGTAACAGCATGAGATTTCAAGCCTGACAAAGTTCATCAGGAAAAATAATTTCGGTTAGACTATGGACAGATATAGACATACGAAGACAAACAATAGAAGATTAACACAGTTATAATGAAAAGATCAAAAGGAAAATTTTGCTGCTTTGAAATAGAATTAAAACACGTGGATTTATTAATCAATAATCAATGTAATTGTGTTATGAATAGTTATAATAGACATATTAGGATTAGGGTTTATGTTAGTATTACAATAACGGGCTTGGCCCAGTAGGGTTACATATGTATCTTTATAAATATAAGGGTCTTTACACATTGTAGAGCATCCAATTCCAGTACACTAATCTATCTCTCTCTCTCTTAATTCTACAAATTGCAAACCCACAAATTTAGATGTCATCTCCCAGCTCAATAAGATTTTCTATTTGCTATGAAATTGGAGGCTAAGAGCCTGTTTGAATACTGTTTTTCAAAATACTTTATTATTTTCAAAAGATAAATAGCAAAAGAACTTATTTGATTATGCTTGTGTTCTCATTCAAAGTTTTGAAAACAAGTTCTAAAATACTGTCTTATAAAACAGAGAACAGGAACAGCTATGAGATGTTTTGAAAATGTTTTCTTTTTCTTCAGTGGTGATTTTGTAGTAAGACTTCCAATTCCTTACATCTTTCTTCTTAGTTCTTTGGTGTGAGACAACAATCCATCTAATTCCTTGCAGGGCATGGAAACCAATTCCACCATTTTCACTGTTTCCAAAATGTTTTCTCTTTTTGGTGGCAACTAGTAATAAGACTTCCAATTCCTGCCATATTCCTTCTTAGTTCTTTGGTGTGAGACACCAATCCATCTAATTCATAGCTGGACACAAAAACCAATTCCACCATTTTTGTTGTTTTCAAAATGTTTTCTTTTTTTGCCAGCAATTTTGAAATAAGACTTTCAATTCCTGTCATCTTTCTAAGTTCTTTGGTGTGAGACAACAATCCATCTAATTTGTGGCTGGACAAGGAAACCAATTCTACCATTTTCATTCACAAGGGAGGAGGAAACCTTGTGTCAAAGACCCCAACCTATGAATTGCAAGCTACCATCTTATATTGCAAGAATCACATGCCACTTCAACAAATTCTAAAGATTTTACCACTTGCCCCATGAATGAAAAATGAAATTGGGTACTTCCAGCTTAAAACTCTGTACACTTCCAAAAGCTTCCATGTCCTTCTTGGCTGTGGTTCAGATGCTTGTACTTGATCTTTCCACTAGCAATAGCAGTTGAATGGGTTAGTGGCAGCTTTGGTTGAGGGACATGGTCATAGACAGTGATTGGGGAGGTAGGTAGCTAATGGGGGAAGAATCTTGGGGTCTCAAGGTGGCCTGCTAAGGTGTGGCTGACAGAGGTCATTTGGTATGGAAAGGAGACAAAGTAGGTGACATAAATTTATTTTCAAGAATGTTTTACCCAAGCAGATACTTTCTTTTTTCTTTTCTCTTTTTTTCACAAAAAAAATTATAAAAATTGCTTTATAAAATACATTATGAAAAAAATAAAACACAATCAAATAGGCCTAAGAATAATAATAAACAGTTATCACATGTATACATAACAGTGTAATTTTGATTTTACTTTAAAGGTGGCTACCCTTTTTTTTTACAGAACAAGCTGTTTACCTTTTGTAACAGAGCAAGCTGTTTATTGCCCTCAGTGACCTCTAATGTTTGCCTCTGTTAGAATCCCATTGCAATGTATGGGACTTGAGTTGGAAGTATGTGATTCTAGTGTGGAGTTTATAAGGCCCTGAACTTTCCAACTATACTGCTAGTTTTTGTGGTATGATTCTCCCAAGGTTCTTATCTGCCTCCTTTTTTGGAAAGTCTTTAGATGGTTATGCTGGAAAGATTTCATCAAAGGGAGATCAGAACCTTGCGGTAATGTGCATATATAGGAGCTGCTGAAATTATGACATGATTATCGGTGATTTCAGTAGATTGTGTCCTGTTTTCATTTGATACTATTACTGTATATTTTGTATTTTAGGAATGTTCAGTGGATCATAGTAAATCAGGATTATGTCTTTTAGACAGTCTTTCTCCTTGTTCTTCTCAAGCTTCTAGTAGGTATCAGAGCCCACATTCAGTGGGCCTGATGAAAGTTGACAAACCTTAGCTTTTCTGCCATCCAGTCCTATTCTGGCAACCTAAGAGCTCCGGCACTTGTCCCATAATCGTGAACATGGTCAGATCAGCTGCTCCCCCAAGAGCCATTGCATCCTGGTTCCTGTTCTTCATGCACTGCCACCCACCTTTTTTTTCTCAAGACCTCACCAGCACAAGTCTCACATCCCACCTTCCTAGTCTCCGCCTACTTCACTATCTGTCCCTTTCTCCTCAATGGTAACTGCTTGCTTTGTTTTAAAACAGCTTGATTGCTAGGTACCTCATTTGCAGCAACCACGGTAACTAAATTCAGGATTTGAATAATAAAATCCCTCAATTTTATGATTTGGAAGGCTTGAACAATTCAAGTTGCTGGAAAAATACTCCTTAGAGAAATTGTTGTAAAATCAGGATTTAAATTGTATAATCCCCATAATCTTACAATTTTACTTTGACTCAAAATCCCAGTTTATAGTGTGACTCAGATTTGACCTGGTTGGTCTCCAAAAAACAATTTCGTTCAAACCCTATATCACTTATTGAGTCACGCTCCTTCCTCTCTGTTCTTGGTCAAACCTAGACACCATTTTTTACCTCCAACAGCCTCAGTGTGTGCAACCTGGTCTGCACCTGGGCCAGCTGTCTGCAACTTGGTCTAAGACATGATCATTTCTGCTTTCTTCTCATCTTCTGCTCTTGCTCAAGTGTAGTACTGTTGTTCTCACCTTGCTTGCATCTTCTCTGCTTTGTTCTGAGTTTGAGTGTTGTTGTTTTGGTCAGCGAGTTCGAGTGTAAACGGCTTCAAAAGAAGGTGCTAGTGCTGCTGGTACTGGGTCTGGGCCCAGCCCAATTAGGGTTGAAAGCTCCAATTCTTATTCACTATTTTTCTTTGGTGTTTAAATTTTATGCCTTGTAATTTGTTAAAAGATTGATAATTTGTATTTTGAGTTGCTAAGTTTTTCAACACTTTATAGATTATGATTTATGAGCAGACCTAGTGGGATAAGACTTGGTTATTGTTGTATAAATTATGATTTATGAGTGCTACTTTATTTTAGAGTTTTTAGTGATTTAATGTTTTTTTTTTTTTTTCAATTTGTCAATTTATATAGATATATATGAATTTATGTGTGTGTATATATATGAATTTTGTAAAATCTTACAATTCCATTTACGATTTTTCATTCCCCTTTATGATTCAAGGTAAATTACCAATTTTAACTACTTAGGCAGCAACTTGGCATTTTCAGTGCTATATTCCTTTTATATGTGGAAAAACCTAATCCTCGAATCTAGGGTTGAGCAAGTGGAATAAGTTATTGGTGTTCTACAGACTTCTTATCGTGAACAAGTGAGCAACAAGCAGCATTTAACAAACAAATGTGGGAAATGCAGGTAACACAATAAATGTTACTTAGAGAAATTCAGAAATTTAGCAGAATTAGAGATCAAAATCAGAATAGTTGAGCCTCGCAGAATGATCAATTGGGGTCTTGATAGTTTTGAGGAATTCTGTTCTCCAACCAAGAATGTGAAACTTTCAAAATTTGATGGCATTGATTCCACGAGATGGACTTGCAAGGTCAAGATGTATTTCAAGGTGCCTGAGACCACAAAAGCGATGAAGGTGAAGTTGGCCAAGTTATGCATGGAAGGAGCCATTATACACGGGGTCAACTTGTGGAGAGATGAGGAAGAACCTACGTGGGACAATCTCAAGCAGGCTTTGATTGTCAAGTTTGGGATAGTATGTCTTCACAATCCATTTGAATAGTTGTCTTTGTTGAAAACAGGAGGGTTTGGTAGAAGTGTACATTGAGGCCTTTGAGATTTTGGCATCCCAATGTCCCCAAATTACCCATAAGTGAAATCCAGTGACATGAAGGCAAGCTATGAGGATTGCAAGAGGAGTTGACGCAAAGTTGGGGGGTGGAGGCAAGCACGGGCAGTCATGAAATTGGGCTGTTTAAGGAGGCGGCTATGCAAATTCTATTGGTGTCAAGAATGGGTCAAGAAGGGAGTTTTCCAATATCACACAGCAAGGTTCGTCATACATGGGAGCGACACACAGCAAGGTGAAATGCCAGGTTCCTATCAGTTTTTTCCAATAATACTTTGATATATAGCAGTAATTGGCCTACCACATTCACCATCTAACTTGTGTGCTGAAGGAATTGAAGGAGAATCACTTTGTATCAAGCTATGGCTCTCACTTTGAGTGAGTTCATATGGCTACAACATCAAAAGTTAAAACATTTCCGTGAGTTGTTTATATTGAGACTGTCATTTCATTAGAGTGAAAAATTCTATCCATAGAAATTACAACATCTTTTGTGGGATCTAATGATCAACTAGTAGACATCCTCACCAAGTCTTTTCAAGGACTGAGGATAGACTAAATATGCAACAAGCTTGATGCATATGATTTATATAGACCAGCTTGAGGGGGAGTGTTGAGATTGTCGTCATTATGGATGATTTCGTAGATTGTGTTCTGTTTTTATTTGATATTATTATTTATATTTTGTATTTTAGGAATGTTTGCTGTATCATAGTAAATCAGGAGTATACCTTTTAGATTTTAGGATCATTCTTTCCTTTTATTCTTGATCCTTGTATCTATTTATACATGTAACTCTCAAAACTTTGAATTAAGTCAACAACAATAAGAAATATTCAATCTCTCCCTCTGTTCTCTAGCTTCAAATGGAGCATTTGTTTCGAGAAGGGTTTAGGGATGCCTCTCTGCTCTATAAATCTAATGATACAGCTGTTTCAAATTTTAAGGGTTATTCTGGTGTTCAGCTAATGCTTGTTTCAATGGAGACTATTCACCTATTGATGTTACAATGCAGTTTAAATTTTAGAGATGTATTGGACAGCTTTTCTGTATTTTATACTTTTTTCTTGAATCAATTCCTTCATTCTGAGCATTATGTTTGCAGGATTTCATATTCTCCATTAAGTTGTACATTCCCTCTTTTCCTTAGGCTAAATTTTCTTTAAACCCAAAAACAAAAGGTTAAATCAAAAGAGAAGCTTTTCCATTCTAGTCCCATGCAAAAAGTGATAACAGAATCTGTTTCAGACACTACCAGCCTAAAGTATTCTAGAATTTCAAAACAATTCATCAGATCATTGTCGAATAGTTTTCTAAAAAAGCAAGGCTCAAAAAGAAAAAGTTTAGGTAGCATAATAAACTTCAGCACATTTTACATAACAAATTAAACATAGCAACTGAGAAATGTTGGAAGCAAAAAAAAAAAAAAAAAAAAACCATTGAACTATAGCATCATACATTAGACTGAACCGAAAAATGAGAATGTAGGAAAACACCACCCAAAGATAAATTAAACATTGTACAATACCTATAGATGTGTGTTAGTAATTGCAAACATATACATCAAAGATAATTAATAATGTTAGATTACTCAACCAAACAATCAATATGAGATCCAAAGAAACCTTAACATCAGTTTCCTATAACCTTTTATGTCAGAATATCAGACATTACAGCATTAAAAAACATAATTCAAAAAAACTGTGGTAGATAAATTTAAGCTTCAGGAAGTAGGGGAAGTGAAAGGTATAGACCTGGTGAAACAGAACCCATCATAAGATATGATGTTATATTAGCATCAACTACGAAAGCAACACGAGTATAGGCAGAACGAAGGCCATAGTTCCCTGAACTTGAAGCATCGCCTTGATTAGAATCATTATCAACAGGCATACTGTCAAAACCACGACTAGCAATGGAACCATCTTCGTCGCTCACTGCACTTCTTGGAGACCCAGGTATGTTTGTATCTTGAAGAATAGATGCTGGATCAATTACTTTTGTTGCCCATCCCAATCGACATGCGAAAGATGCAGCAGCCTGCAGTTGTGACAACTCAGCCTGTAGAGTTGCTGCCAATTCAGCAACAGATGCATTTTCATTTGAAACAACAAAAACTGCATACAATAACCTGGAAGAAAAAGATACAATGTTACTTAGAGCCTCACTTTATGAAAACAACATTTGAAAAGAAAAGGATGGAAACAGACTGAACTAAATGCATTACTCTTCAATAGGGTCTTCATAAGACTGCTCTCTGTTGGAAACAAAACCTTCGAGCCTAGAAACTGAACCGCCATAAATATAAAAATTAGGTAAATTAGACAGACAAAGTTTTTTAAATGAATGTGGTACATGTTATACTGTTGGGGAAAAACATCCCTAAAATCATGAGATATAAAGCACCATATAATTATAGGGAGTTTAGTCAATTGGCTACATTAGTAGATTGGTCCCTTATTTCTTGGTTTTGTTTCAGTTTGGTCCCCTAACTTTTTTTTCTCATTTTGATCCCATAACTTACAAAATGATTCAAATAAGTCATTTTTCGTCAAAAACATTAACTCCATTAAAAAATCATTGTTCATCTTCCTACTTATGAACTCCAACGAAGACAATTCCGGCAAATTTTCCAATAGACTCCTTTTTTTATTTTTTTTTCTCTCTCTTTTACTTCCTCATTTTACCTCTCATCCACGCCTCTATGACCCATTTTCCTCCCTCTTTGAACTCTGTCAGAAAAAAAATCTTTTCTCCTCATCTTACCTCATTTACATCTTCACAACCCATTCCCACCCCTTTCAAACTTCAAAAATCTTCTCTTTTTATCAGGTGAATTTTTTATTTGGGTGCTAGTGTCTTAGAAGAAGCCAAAAAACGAGACAATGACAGTCATCAAGGGTAACTAAGATACTAGCCTAGAAGAAAAAAAGAAGATTTTTCAGGTTCAAAAGGGAAGAGGTATGGATAAGGGATAAGAGGATGAAGAACAAGAAAGAGAAAAGAGAAATTTTTTGTTAAAATTTAAAAAATGAGTGAAATGGGTCTCGAAGGCATGAACAAAAGGTAAAAGGAGGAAAAAAAGAGAAAAAGAGAGAGAAAGAGAACCAAAAATTTTGCCAAAATATATTATGTTTTCGCAGAACTTCATAAGGAGAAAGAAAATGAATAGTGATTTTTGACAGAGTTGAAGTATTTTATTAGATATGATTTATTTAAATCACTTTTACATTAAGGGACCAAAACAAGAAAATAAATTAGAGAACCAAATGGAAACAAAACCAAAATTTAAGGCACCAATCTACTATTTAGCCACAGTCAATTACTTATTTTTAGTCCATATTTTGAGTTTAGAAGGATTTCCAAATAATTATGGGGATCACCCAATTTTTTGTTTCTATTTTTGGCTTTATTTTTGCCTATATATCATACCTTTCTTAGTATATGCAACAAAAGCTTATATATTATGAATATACCCTTTGTATCACAATTATTTATTTCATTAAATTGATACATTTCAAATTTCTTTCTTTCTAAAAGAATATAATGTTATAATAAAATTTCTCTTTCTAAAAGAATATAATGTTATAATAATAAATACAATATTGTATAATATCAAGTTATTTGATCATGAGTTCTTACTTAATGATATTTTTAAAATATCCCGGATCAAGTATTAACACTAAAACAATGTAATACATTTAGACTAGTGAGCAAGTAGACTGATAATTTAGTGTAACAAATCATAGATGTGATATATCAAGTCATTACTCAAATATGCATTAGAAGTAACAATATATTAAACTAACCAACTATGAAAATGTCATATGAATTGTTGCATTAGTATCATAAACAATTTGTAATTGTGGTAGTGTTATATGTGATCTTTGACTTAAAGTCATTACAATTCATCCATAAAGAACTTTAGGTTTTAAACCCGTCAAATATCATCCACAACAAGGTTATCATAAAGTTAAAAATTAAACATAGAATAAATCATGCAAAGAAATGTGAGTGATCTATGTGAAATTTCTCTCTCTTGTGTAACAGGAGTTAATGTTATCAATGATAGATGGTGGGTTATGATGGAAAGCTTAAAAACTGCCATAAAATAGTGATGAATGCCATGGCAGCTTATGGTGGAAGCATGGCGGCCATAATATATTAGTAGCATAAGTCCAAAACCATAAGGTCAACACAAACTAAAAAGCCATCAAGCCTCAAGTAAGAATAAGCAAGAGAAATAGAGACTAACAGAGTTTCTTTTCTTTTCTCTCATTATTTTCTTCCTTACATTCTTTTATGGTATCAAGAGCTTAGTTTCAATCCATCTATTTTCTCATAGCTTCCACAACTAATGATGACATTGATGGCACTTGCCCATCGCCTCTCCCGCCACAAACACCAAAAGCTCTGTTGCCTACTCCGATGACGTTTTCCCATATTGTCACTGCTAAGCTTACTAATTCAAATTACCTTCTTTGGTGATTGCAGGTTCAGCTAGTCATCAAAGGCCATGGCCTACTCAGTTATATTATTGCTCCACAAATTCTTCAGAAATTTGCTTCATACCAAGATTGGGATCGCAATACTTTCACCTAAATATCAGTTTGGGGAGCAACAAGATCAATTGCTCCTATCATGGCTTCAGTTAACAATCTCTGAAGCGGGTCTTCCACAGCTTATACATTGCTCCACATTATGGCATGTTTGGGACAAGCTTCATTAGCATTTTCTTCCATTGCTCGTGCAAAGAAGAAACAAATTTGTGGTGAGCTTCATACAATTTCACTTAATGATCGCCCAATTACTGTTTATCTCCTTCATATTCAGACTATACTCGATTCTTTGCTATCCATTGGTGATTCTGTTTCACTGACTGAACACATTGATATTATTCTTGATGGGTTGCCGAATGAATATGACACAGTGGTTACGATTCTTGGTTCGAAAATAGAACCTCTCACTTTTGATTATGTTTTTTCGCTGCTTCTTGTACAAGAATTGCATCTTGAAAAGTCTAGAAAGAACACACTTGGTACTGTGCATGTAGCTAAAGGTACCCCATTTTCCTCCCAAGATTCTACCGCTCACGCTAATCTTACACATGCTTCCTCGAGCTCATTTTTCTAGGTCTGGTTATGGAAATGTGTCTAATACTGCTCACAATCGCAGTAGTGGTCATTATTTTAGTAGTGGTGACGAAGGAAGTGGTTGTAGACGTTATGCTAATGTTCAGTGTCAAATTTGTCACAAGTATGGTCATGAGGCTTCTTTCTACTATCACCACCATGATGATAGTATTGTTTCGTCTCGGCCCAAATATAATCATTCACCCCGCCTTTCCCAGCATCCCTCACACTCAACCAACCCACTCGCTCCCCTATTTCCCAATTTTTCGTTTCCTCCATCATCTCAAGTCTACCTTTATTACCCATTTCTTCCTTCCTTTATGCCATCTTATTACTACCTCTCATCTTCTCCTCAGTTTCAACATCCTTCACCCAGTCCCTTGGCCCATGTTGCAAGTGCTTCCTCTGCCTAGCTGGTACCCCGATTCTAGTGCATCTCACCATGTAAACAATGCCTCTTAGAACATTCACCAAGTCACTCACTTCGAAGGCCTTGATCAAATCACCATTGGTAATGGTAAAGGTCTAGACATTAAATCTCCAGGTGCCACTTTTCTTCCCCTTTTAATAAATTTGTTTCTCTCTGTCTTAAGAATTTGTTGTTTGTTCCTTCCATTACCAAGAACTTGGTAAGTGTCAGTCAATTTTTCAAAGATAACTCTGTGTTTTTTAATTTCATCCTTCTTTCTGTATTGTCAAATCTCAGGCTTCTAAAGATGTGCTTCTTCAAAGCACAATGGGGCACAATGGTCTTTATCACTTTCCTAACCTGCTTCAACCTTCCAAAAAGTCTACTTCAACATCTACCTTTGTGCATAACACTGTTAATCCTGTTGTTTTTTATTCTATTTCACATTCCTCAGTTGTAAATGTTGCATCTAATAGTAGTGATTCATACTCTATTTGGCCTTCCAAACTATATCATCCTAGTGCTGAAGTGCTTAAAATTGTTCTAAAATTGTGTAATGTTTCTTCCATTAATAAATTTGAACTTGATTTTTGTTCATACTGTTGTCTTTGTAAATCCCATAAACTGCCATCCTTTCCCCTCTAATTATGTTTACCCTACAATGTAGATACACTGATCCTTGGGGTCCAACTCCCTATGTTTCAAAATGTGGACACAAGTATTATATTACATTTGTTGATGCCCACACTCGCTTTACTATTGAAATCCATGTCAAAAACACTTAGTGTGTTCAAACAGTTTCAAAGTTTGGTTCAGACAACATTTAATCTACCCATCAAAACTGTTGAGTCTAAACAGGATCGTACTGAATCACGATCTTTCTTCCTAAGATTATAGGATCTACAATTCGATTCAATCTTCATTTTCGGGTTGGATACAACAGTATCACATCGCGTCACAGTGGTCAGCTGCTATTTCGAGCTCGTTGCATTGCATTTCAGTATTACAGCTCTCACAGACGCTATAGCAGTGGAAAAGTGGAAGTATATGTCTTCAGAGGGGTAAGGGTGTCATGGGCCAGTACCATTAGGTATTGCACAGTGCAGAAGATGCCAAATATCCAAAAACACAAGTGTCACGCAACATGAAACAAACCAACAAGGATAGATCTAAGTAGGGTAGATCTTGATGAATCAGAATGACCAAGAAGCAGTTGAAAACAGTGCCAAACGTGCTGCCATGCACCGACGACGGCGTGGCGAGGAGAGAGAAACATGAAACAATAGCTGCGCGCATGAGGGCCCTATTTGCTACAATGCTTTGGGGATAAGTAGATTTGTGGGTGGTAGACCTGATCAGAGGGTGCTTGCAGGAAAAGGTTGCTAGAACAGTAACCAGCAGCAGCAAAGAGTGACCAAAGAGGGTGGAAATCCAAAAACTAGAGGAGCCCAGTTACAGCATTGCTATAATTACAATTTCCAACAATACTACGTAAGAACTAATATTCAATTACATTTGGAATCATTCAGTTGCGAAACCATAAAAAAATAACTGTTCAGTTTCAATTTTATGTTAGTTGGGTTAGTCAGAATACAGGCATTCCTTCAGATTAGAATTTATCAGAGACAAGGAATATTTTAATTATGAAATTTAAAATTTAAATGCTTCAGAAGTATAGCTCTGAAAATGATGTTTGGAAAGTAAAAACTAGTAAGAAAAAATATAGAACCAACTTCTACTCGTAAAACACACCTTTAAACCGATCCTCAGGAAATACAGGAACATCAAAATAGATCAATCCCCGTCTATAAAGACCCTTCACAACATCAGGATCAAACAGGATAAATGAATTTGCCTCCTCCTTACATACTCTATCTATTGTGGCCATTTCTTCTTCTGAAAGTTTCTGTAAAGGCAGAAAACAATGCAAGAAAAAACCAAATCAAATGAATACCTAAATTAGTAAATTACTTCTTTTTGAGAAATTAACATAGTGAAGAATATTATTGTCATTTGTAAATGAACCCTCCTCTATCAATAAGGGTGAAATGAAGACCTCACCTTAAATTCTTCCAAAGTAAAGTTCACCAGACAAACTCCCCACCAAGGTTCAATAGGAAAATCCACAGGTTGTGTGGGTAAAAGTTCTTTAGCAATTGACTTGTTCAGTTTCCACATGATTTTCTGGATACTCCAAAAGCAGAAACGATAGGTAAGAAAAGAATGCTATAAAATCATTGTCAGTTTCAAACAAAGGGCAGTAAGTTATTGACACTAAATTCAAATTTATGAGAAACAAAATGAAAGTCTGCTCAAAGACTTATGATTAAAAGTGTTAAGGGTCAAATGATGAAGATAGTCATTAAGGTATATTCAGTTTAGCATCTCTAGAACCAATTGCCTTTCCTTGCTTATATGAAAGTAAGTCTTACAAGGTAATATTGGCACTATGATAGCTGTTGGTAATGAAAAAAACACAGACATGCATACAATATCATAATGATACCTGAAATCAAAGAATCAAAAATATATTTCTGTATACCATATACGCAAATCAATCCAGTACCTTAGATCTGCACTTGTTCATTATATCAATAAATTCATTTCTCCCAATTCCTGTAAGTCTTAGAGCATCTGCTGCACTAAAGTTTGGGATGCTGTCATAAGGTTGCTCTGCAAATAATTAAAACACACATGAAATTTTTATGCCAGCTCATCCACAAGCAAACATTTATTATTCTACATATTAGTTAACCTACAGAACACAATCAAACAGTAAAGGAGATGACACTGCAAGCACTATATGAAGTTCCTTGGTCAAAAATATATATTCCTATAGATTACATAGTTTTTATGACGTAAATATGAGATTTAAAAATTAAATCAAAAAAATAGGCATAAGCACTAAGAATATCTACAAAATATCTTATAATATTATTTATGTATCAGAATATCTAATAGGGTATCTTAGATGATCTCTTGATTGGTTTTCATATTTTGTCATATTTCATGATTTCTTTCCTTATTTAATTAGGTATTCTACTATAATTGTAAACAATGGATGGTGCTTTGAACTTTATATCACATAACTTTACATCAAGCCAAATCAATATCAATTTCAAAATATTCAATATGACATCAAAGTGCTATCACACTCTTGCCTATAGCATAACTATTCCATGCCAAGTTGCGCAAAACCTTGACCATTTCCACGATTATTTTCTTTCTTCTGATTAGTCATCCTCTTTTCATGTTCTTCTGACACCCTTTCCCTATCTTTCTTCAGATAGAAATATTTATTTTCAAGAAAATACCCAGCAAGACCACAAATCTGGAATCCCAATGCCCTTACTATGGTCTTAAATCCACATCAGGTTCAAAAAATATTGCACATACACTTTTAATACCCGAGTTCACAAACATATGACTTCGCTTTCAATCTACTTGTTGGACATGAGCCCATGCCAATAATTAAAGAGAAGAATAAGTTTGGAGGGTTTATTGTAGGAGGAATAAACAGTAATAATAGATGGTTAATATGTTATCAGTAAGTTACAAGAGTTTTATTAGGAGTTTAAAATGTCAGCAGCAGTTACAATTTTACAAATGGTTTTATTTGGAGTCAATATGTGGTGGATGAGTTAGTTACAAGAGGTTCCTTTTGGAGTAAAATAAGGGGAAATTGTAAAGGAAAGGGCGAGGAAAGAAAATAATACAAACTGAGTCATTCTCAGTGATAAGGGGATTTTCCCTTGTAAGAAGGTTCTGCCACTTGAGTTTCTTTTCTATTCATCTAAATAAAGAATCTTTTCCTTTCTCAATTCTCTATCTTTCTTTTTGTTCAGATTCTTGTTATTTTTGTTTTATATAAACTGAGAACCTATCACTACTGCACCATGCATACTCACAAGTCACAACTAATCACATTTCATCTTGTTGTACTAGTCTACACCCTCAAGTTAGACTATGTAGCATCACCCAAAAACAGGGGGGAGAAAATCAGAAAAGAGCTTTACTATTTCAGAAACAAATTTCCTCACTTCAAGGGCTTAGCAAGAACTTATTGATACAAATACAACTCTATACTGAATATGTCTCACAATAAATCTGTATAATGAAAACAGTTTTGAATTTAAGTTGAACATTAATGACCAACTCTTGCAGTTCCCAACATTCAAGTTACAGATGAACTCAGTGAAAAATATTCTACAAACATAACTCATTTGGTATTCAACAATTGGTTTGGATGGCATGGCATGATTTTATATGGAAAAATCACTCAATTGCAAGCTATATACAGCAAAGATTAATAGATCCCATACTGGAGAGACCAAGAGATAACGAATTAGAGAATTGCAACAAGCAAGAAAAAAATTACCATTTCTCATTACTTCAAAGATCATATCACAATAGTATCTAAAAGGCGATACTCTCATCACACGGCAAACATACTCTGCCAGATGATAAGGAAATAGCTGCAATTGAGAAAAAGTACATGTTAAATATTGCAATTTTGATTTTGAAGCATTTGAACATCAATTTACTTCCAAATAAATTTCTAGCGACAAAGTTTTCTTATCAGTGTCTATGATCATGTAAATAATGTAATAAGTACTTGATGTATAGTTTCAGAAACAAATAGTATTCTGTCCAGCACATACAGCAAGATTCTTCCGCAAGTAACGCATCATCTCTTCATAATATTCACTTTCCTTACAAACTTTACGAGCAAAACAACTATTCCATTGGAGTCTCTTCTTTATGCAACTTTCAATTATCCTGCATAAAATTCCCATTGCCAATAAAAAGAAGAGACAATAATTAGAAAATCGGGTAACAATAAATCCTTTTATTTACTTTCAGTATGAATAATACTCTCTTGGTTTAATTGTTTTCCCAAGGAGAGATTTTAGTTTTATTGCTGAAGGTATTGCTTTTTAAAATAAAAAATCTCTGCTCCAGTGAAATTTTATTTATTTTATTCTACAGTTATTTAAGAAATATGTTTTCCAACAAATTTGAAACTCTACTAGCACTCTAGAACCCCATTCCAGTCTCTAAGACTGGGTTAAGATGATGATGTCAAAGGTCCTTCGCTAGATTGCCTATCCACCTCAAATAACTATGTTTTCACCTCAAAGATCAGAAGAACAAATATTTGGAGATCAAAGGGTCAAACATAGCATAGTAAGGGTGCATTTCAGTAAGCTATTAAATTAAGCACTTATTCATTAAGTTCTTATTATTCAAGGGTTTATGTTACTAATTTAAACATAAAACTAATAGAAAAAAGCTTATTTTAATGAACTATACCATTAATTAAGCTTGTCGAAATAAGCTAAAGAGTATTTATGGAAGTCATAAGCTATTCTTATAGGTTCTTTCAAAGCCCCCCAAAACCATGTTGCTTGTTATACACATGAAAAGTGTACTGAGTGGCCTCCTATGTCCCTTCGTTGCATCGATGCAACTCGTAAATTTATGTGTAGTCCCACCTCCTAACATACATGCACACACAGGACAAAAAGAATCCAATAAAAAGTAGAACAGTTTGGATCATGTCTCTATTTAAATATCTTGCAGAAATTAACAGTATAATACAAGTGCATAATTATTATTCATCACATAAAGTGTACAATTTAGCTTCCACGATCACTATGCATTCTTAGTTTTTTTTTTCCTTTTTCAGTATAATAACATACTTTATTAACAGAGAGAGAAAAGGAGGCAATATAAGACAAGGAAAAAAAAAACTCAATGCAAAAACTTCCCCCAAATTTTTGAATATCAATCAATAATTAATAACAGAAACAGCCCAATAGGCCATAAGTCCATAACTTCATTTTTTCGCAAAAACTTCTGGAGCACACGGTTCACTCCTGAAGACTTTACTCAAGTACTATAACTACTAAGGATCATCAATTACAAGATACCAGCAAACAAAATAGAAGATTTTGCTATAGAACACAGGAAGTCACTCTAACCTTCTGTGCCATTCTTCTTTGGTAGAAAGTGTTGTTTGAATCCGCTTGGGAAGGTTCTCCCACGAACACTCTTCCTTAATCGCTTTTTGCAACAACTGATCCTCAACTGTCACCGGAGCACGCTGCATTTCTCACTCACCAAACACCTGAACAGCCACTTCCTGCAATCGAAAATCACACACCACACAAGTCAACAAAACACACTCAATCGAAACTGCAAAATCGAAACCAATTGGCAAAATCAAAAAATGAAAAAGATCAAGCAGGATCCAGAACAACTAAGCACGTTTACTGAGAAAGCCAAAGAAAATCCTCAGCTGTGAATCCACTGATCAGATCCTCATTCGTTTGGGTCGAGTTCGTTCAGCTAGGGTTTCGGAATCGGAATTCACAGACAATGTTGTGTTCGTGCTTCTTCGGAAGGTTAAGCACTAGACAGAGAGAGAGAGATTTGGCGGAAAGTGAGAATTGTGAAAGATAGTGGTTTCCGTTATGGCGGTGGTGGCATCAATTCCGTTGGTTTATTTCTCCTACCCGTTTCGGACAATCTGTTCGGGTTTTGTGCAAAATAACGCGGTTTTGGTATCATTTTTAAAAGAATTAATTTGCATTTAAAAAAATAAAAAAACAGAATTATTTGACTCGGATAGAAAAAGTAAAATTATATTGGAAAATAAATTTATCAAAAAACTTATAATTGTTTAAAATAATTATATACTAATTTCTTTCTGTAGCGTATTTCTTTATCAATTTTTGTAAAAATATATAGTTCTTGTAATAAACTTTTTAAATTAATGTTTGATTATTAAAGTAAAAATTGGTTCATTATAAAATCTATTAAAATTGAAAGAAAGTTTTAGTGTGTTTTTATATTATCAGCCATTTGATATGGTAATAAATAATAATATTTATAGTAACAACAAAGAAAAATAAGAGTTACAAAAATAAAAATGTTAAAATAGATGAGTGGTCACACAAAAAAAAAATGATTACATACATAAAAATTTTGAAATAGCATTAAGAGTAAAAAAAATAACAAAATATTGATTAAAGTAATTTGAACATGAGCAAAGAAGAGTAGAGTGGACGTTATTACTTTTATTTAGTAAAAAAAAAAAAGTAGATAAAGCCTCATGAGAATGCTATACTTTATTTGAAAGTTAATTTTTGGAATAAAGAGAAAAACTTATTTAATGATAGACCTTGTTTAGAAGTTGTTAGAGAAGATTGAGCTTTTATAAATTCTCGTGAGTTTATTATTTTAAGCACTTCTAAATTGAAAGATTTTTTATTAATTCTTCTTTCTCCTCTCTTCTCTTCTTCTCTCCTCCCACTTCAAACTCTTTTCTTCCCTCTCTCTAAAATCACAAACAAAGCTCTAGAAAAAAATTTAAAATTTTAATTTTTGACCAAGTTTAATAGTGATACAATTCATGTAATAGACTTCACTTAATGAAATAAAGTTTGATTATTATTATTGTTGATGTTGTTGTTGAATATGAAACATTATAAAAAAAATATAAATCTTAAAACAAATTTTTGGCTAATTTTTAATTAATTTTTATTGATTAATTTAATATAATTAAAAAATTTATTAATTTAATTACCAAATAACAAAAATATTTTAAAAATAGATTAAATATAATTGAAATATTATCATTATATTTTTTATGCAAATAAAAAATTAAGTAAACTAATTTAAGCTTTTAAAATGGTTATTTATAAATCTTGAATGAACTTATTATTTACTAATAACCATGTCTTTCATAATTTTGTATGTGCTTTCTTATGGGCATATTTCATTAATTTTTATATGAACTTTTGTAATAAAATGCTACAAGTCAAGAGACTAATCTTTGATCTAGGTGGGTTCTTTTCCATAACTATATACTTGATCCTTATCTTTCACATTTCTTGAGACTTATATTGTCTCTTTTGCTTTGTAGGATTGTTCTAGATGTATTGCATGCAAATAGGCCAAATAAAAAATGACTGTGAGGATAATGATGATTTGGATTTAAGGGCAAATCCTTTTGAAGATGGAGGGCATGATGAGGACCTCCTAGCTTGGAGAGCTTGAGCCAAGTGGAGGATGCGTTGGAGGGACTTTAAGGCCCTATGACTAGGTCAAGGGTTAAGAAGACCAAAGAAGCCATAGGCAAACTTATGGGCCTAGTGAGTCACCTTAGGCCAAGCCCATAGAAGGCCACACTTTGAAGATCTATTCCTATTTCTCATAGTGTATTTTGAAACTTTAGACTTTGGACTTTTGCCTTCTTGTGTAGTTGGGTCTAGTCCAATAGCTAGTGTAGTTTATTGCCTATATAAGGCGTTTTTTCTTTGTATTTTGATAACTTTTGTTCATTTTTCAGATTTGATGAAATCTAGTAAGTTTTGATAAACTCCTTTTCTGTCAAGTGATCTAGGTAGAGACCTTGAGTTTACTTCTTATTGGTGGATCCTTCCATCATGGTGAAGATCTTGTGGCTTATCTCCCTTTGAGAGTAGCGCCAATATCCATCTTATTCTTCTTCCATTTTTTCATTAAAATTCTTGTTTGATTGCATTGTTCTTCAAGGAATTAAGGGTCGGTGAATGAAGTTTCTCTAGGAATGATTTACATATTCAAAGGAATCAGACAATTCCTACATCAATTTTCTAGATATGTTACAAACTAAAATTAATTTATTATTACATTTAAATTTTAATTTATAGGTCTGACATTTAAAATTTCTTCATTTTTATTACAAACTAAAATTGAATCTTGAGTTTATACGATGTGTTAACTAAACAATCCGCATCTGTATGAACTAAACACAAGTAAGCAGAGAAAAAGAGAACAAACTAGTAGGAAGATTCATCGTTAATAAAGAGAAGAAAAAAAGAAAGAGAGAATGGATGATTCACCATTAATAAAGAGAAAAAGAAATAAAGAGATATGTGAAAAAGATACCTGTAGATATGAAAAAATAACAATTTATTAGCGTAGAGGAGATAAAGAGAGCATAGAAGATAAAGAGAACCTACATACGAAAAAGAAACGAAAAGAACTTATAGAAATAAAAGAGATCAACTTTATTAGCAAGATGAAGAGTAAAGAGATTCATGAGTTGAGGGCGAGCTTTATTTATAAAAGTTAAAGACTTTGGAGATAATTAAAGACTTTGGAGATAACTGCTCTCTAAGAGTGATTTTAGAGAGCGGTCAATAGAGAACTACTCTTAAAAGTATAGATATGAGAGAGGTTCAACCGACTCTTTAAATGTATTATTACAGAGCGGTTTCTATTAATTGCTATCTAAGTTAGTACTTTAAAAACTCGTTTTTAGCATAGTGTGTATATATGATTAACAAAACAATTAAGAAAATAACTTACCCTTGACCATGTAGACATTACATGATTTTTCGATAAGAATCTTGCTTGTACTAATCGAGATGCTAATGGGCTGGCTAATTCTTCTCTTTTTCAGTGTGTTCATCATTGTCTTGAGAGGAAGGTTCAAGTTCTGCTTTTGCCATTGTGTTTGATCCTTATCCCCTATTGTACAAGGTATGTACCTTTGAGTAAGAATATCCTTCTTTTCATATCGAGCAATGCAATGTAGTACTAAATTATTTTTCACGAATAGGGTATGAACGCATGTTTTTATCAGTAATTGGATAATATTAAATTAAAATATATATATATAAGATGTTTGAACGAAATCAACGGCGATCATTGCATTCATAGTTTTTGTATAGACACGAATTCGTTCTATTAAGCATTTTTATAATATCTCTAACCTCATCAGTAAAAATTAGTTTTGCATCCACCAAATTGACGCTACACTGCCTACACACTACAGTTCTAACCATCCAAGTGTTATATAATTATTCGCAACACTAAAATGAAATGTGGATGAGATAAAACTACAAAAAAAAGTTTATTTTTTATTTTGATTTTAAATTCAGAAAATTTAAATAACTCAAAACAGTGCTACATTTATTGGAATTTATCGTTAAAACAAAAAAAAATGTAAAATGTTACTGTGCTTTCCTACTATGGTAGGCAAATTCTTATTCACAGTGATAGGTTAGTACATTAATTAACCCCTTTTCCCAAATGTCGTATAATTCACTATAAATTTACAAATCCCCTATGAAATTGCTCTGTGTATCTGAATTCATCACTCACAATGAAGATATCTAGCCATGATATTGTGATCTAGTGTCTCTTTTGAGTGTGTGTGTCTTTTGATTAGATAATGATTAGCTAGATAGAGGTTTTTGATTGCTTTTCACTTTTGTCCTATCTTGCTTATTTTGCTGGATTCACCTTTGGCTATGATTTGGTTACACAGGAATTCACCTTGTGGAAAATGTGAATATAAAAGTAACTGTTTGTGGGTCTTGAAAGCATCAACAACACAGCATTCAACAACATTTTTTTTTTCTTTTCATCACCTACTCATCTGTTACCTCAACCTGGTTCTATTTTAAATCTTAGTATTCTGGTCTCTTTGCCCATAAACTTCGCTTTGCCACGTACAAAGCCCAGAGCGCAGGATCAGCTTTCGGCCTTTGTTCTTATCAATGAAGAGGCTCAATAACTCACATACTATGGCTACTTCACTTTCCATATGCCCATCAGGTAAAGTTAAGAACCTTTCTCACTAATTGGTTCCTTCAACTGCATCATTCACTCTTCAGATACCCTTTTCTCACATTCTCATTCAACCGCTTCAATGAAGCATAATGAAGCAAAACCCATCAAATAAAACTTCTACCTTTCCACTGTTTGTTGTTGTTTGGATTCAGTTTTGGTAACAAATATTTGGCTTAAGACTAAAGTACAATTCTTTAAGTAATTTTTGTGGTTTTCGGTCAAAATTAGAGTATTTTCTCAGTAAAAGGTAAGGTTTTAATGTTGTTACAGATCACTAAGAAGAAACTCTAATTTTTTTTGGAAAACGTCACTGAAATCACTTAATGAATTACGCCTAAGTTTTATTCAATGGCTAATTCTTTTCCACTCTTTGTGCATGCAGGTGTGAATCAAAGGAAAGAAACACAGGGTTACAGTGATGAATTTCAGGCAATGTTAGATAGGTTAGACCAAGAAGACAGCTATGAAGATGGTAGCTCAGTGTTGGAGAAGAAAAGGAGACTCAGTTTTGATCAGGTGAAAGCCTTAGAGAGGAGCTTCGAGGTTGACAACAAGCTAGAGCCAGAGCGCAAGACAAAGCTAGCAGAAGAACTGGGCTTGCAACCAAGACAGGTTGCTATTTGGTTCCAAAATCGTAGAGCCCGTTGGAAAACCAAGCAATTGGAGAGAGACTATGGCGTTCTCAAGTCCAATTATGATGTTCTCAAGGTTGAGTACCATAATCTTGAGCAAGAGAATGAGGCTCTTACTATTAAGGTATCACAAATCACTTTCTTTTGATCATATGTAACAACAATCAAGCCTTTTATTGTTGAGTCGGCTATACAGATAATCAGATAATGTTATAGTTTATTAATCACTTTTGTAGCATAACCCAGTTGAAATTTTTTACTTTAATATGTTAAATTTAATTTGGATAAATTTTTCAATGAATATTTATATGAAAAAAATGAATAAGGTAAATTAAACTTTTTTTTCATAAGTTAAAATTAAGGTATAGATATCTATTTCTGAAAAAGTTAGATAAATGTATATTTAAGAGAAGTTAATGTCACAAAATTGATCTGTCTAATTTATTTAGACTTTTTTCTAATTTTGATCTTAGTCTTTTTAGTGTGCAGCTTTTGGGTTCTTTCTTGTGATCTTTGGTGTGTGACCTGCAGCTAAGAGAGTTGAAAGAAAAATTGTCGAGAGGTGGAGCTGAAAGCAATGAGTTAGTGAAAGAAGAATCTCCCATTTCAGAGGTTAGAGACAGAGGAGCATCAGAGAGCAATTCAAATGGCGTGGTTAAGGAAGAGATCAATGATGATTCTCTTTTGTGTGTCAATGGATCTTTGCCCAGTTCAAGTTCATTGATGAATTGGCTTCACTACTCTGACTCTGATTCAAGAGGGTCCCCAGATAAAACGTTTCAGACTCACTTTATGAGAATGGAAGAGCCAAGTTTCTTTAGTATTAATGAGTTCTGCAATTTCTTTTCAGTTGATCAATCCCCTACCCTGTAATAGATTGCATGGATCATTCAAAAGCAATATACTACATTGAGTTCGAAATTGACATCTAATTGAAAATTGCTTTGTTACGAATAATTCCTGATTAAAATGACATTTATCTTTTATGGTCATTAAAGACTATGGATTTTGTAATTGCTTGGACAAAAATCATAGAAGATTCAGATAATTCCTACCTTAATATGGATCTTTAGTTTTAGTTTTCCTTGTATATTCCAATTTATATTATGTCTATCAAAGAAAAAGTTGATTTTGAAAAAAACAAAACCAATAATATGGATCTTCATATATTTGTTTCTTTCTTATCTTTTCCATAGAATTATCAAGCAAATTGTTGTAATGAGTTAATCATACTACATTCAACTTTACTTTTTTCACTCATACTTATTATATTAACAACATAAAATCCTTATAAATTTATATTTTATATTATATGCTTTTATGTTGTTGTAATCTTGTATACGATTAAATCATATCAAAAGCAGAAGATCCAAAAAATATAGTGTGCGCAAATGTGGAGACATTTGGGATTATTCCATGAATAACTTGTGTGCTTTCACATTCTTTTTCTCGCTGGCATCAATGCATGTGGTAGGTGAATCTGCGGAAATCAGCTTTAGCAAAACCAATTTCTAAGACTGCTACAATGCTAATGCTAGCTCATGTTTTCATTTTCCCACGTGCTTTTGCGCGTTTTCTTCCAACAAAAAGGATTTTTCTACGCCTGAAAAGAGTGTACTGTCCTTAAAAACAAGGGACAGAGAGAGAGGGTGTAAAATAAATATAAAGTTTAGAGTTTGAACAGTTTTGAATTATTATTAAAGATTGATTTTATATGCATAATTCTTAAAAGGAATAAACAAACCTTCACATTATTTCCTCAAAAATCTATGTTTGTTAAATACTTTTATAAATATAAAATTTATCTTAATTCTTAATATTATAAATTTCACTCAAATTTATCTTTAGCCTTCGGATATATTAGTATGGAAAAGTTGACGAATTTAACTGGTTTTCATAATTTACTAAAATTAGAATGTTAGTTTCTATCTTTTTAAGCTAATATTTTTATTGTCATTTTTCCAGACAAATAATATGAAAGGTATACTCTTTCTAAAATAGAAAAGAAAAAGTATATTCACTTTTATACTAATTTAAAGTGACTTCATGAATTTTCAAAATCAACCCTACTTAAAAAATTATATAAGAAGAAAAAAATCATTTATTATGTTGTAAATACATATAACAAGTTTTTTTTTTTTAATTACATGTATTTTTTATTGGATAGAATATGTTCAAATCGAATAAAACCATTTTGTACAATAAAATTTTGTCTTTGAGTATTTAATATAATTATATTAACATGAAAAACTCTTGTTTCAATTTTATATAAATATATAAATAAAGAAGAATTACTATAAATAAAATTAAAATATACATATAAAATATTTAAATGTAATTTAAAATTTATGTTAACATATGATACAATTAATTATAATTTATTGCGATGTATAAATAAAGTTTTTCATTGACTAGAATTGAGAATGATTAAGAGCATATAAATATAATAGATCTTTATTATTTCATAAATTTAAAGTAAATAATATCATACTAATATAAAAATATAATAAAAAATTTATAATTATTATAATAATTAAATTTACATTTGATACAAGTTATAATTTTTATATTAAATCAAAAGAAATTATACGAAATATGCTACAAACTTAAAATTAAATAAAAGTATTGAAAAATAAATCAATCACTTTAAACTTTCTTTTAAATAAAATTAATTTATACTAAACTTATTGAATAGTCAATTAGAGTTAATAAATAAGTGATATAATTCGAGTAGCTAGAGAACGAAAAAAAAGAAGACAAGAAAGGAAGAGAATAGTAATGAAAATAGAAAGAAGAAGTGTTGAAGGAAACTGATGGATGAGATTAACGCAAAAGTCACTTTCAAACTTTTGTGAATGTTAGTGGGAAAGAGTGAGTCTATAAAGTTGGCTACGGCACCATACCTATCCATCCTCCCAAGTCTAGCTTCTGTCAGAAGTAGGACCCATCTTCTCTGCTATCTTTGACTCTTTGGATTCTACTCACAAATTCACCATTTCAATCTTTAAACATTCTTTTTTAACATTATTACTATTATTTATATTTTTAATCATTACAAGTTTTTAATTATAGATATAAATATTATGATAAATATTTTTTTATATATGATATTTAAAAATTATATATACTAACATATAATTTTTAAAAAAAATTATAAAAATTTAAAATTTAAAAATCATCAATAAATTTTTTTTATGTAATTATAAAAATTAGAGATAAAAAATAATAAAATTTTAAAAATTGCTAATAAAATTTTTTCAAAAAATATTAAATTAATAAAAAATTTAAAAATATTAATAGTCATTTTTCAAATAATAATAAAATATTTTAAAAAATAAAAGAGAAAAAAGTTATCGTAAGTGATTTTTGAAAAATAGTCATATTTCTCTAATTTTGTCAACAATTTGATATTTCGATAATTTTTTCAAAAAATCATATATAAGAAAAAGAGTCCTGTAATTGGATGAAGGGTTTTTTTTTTAATTAAAATGAAATTAAGTAAAATGTAAAAAACAAACAATTTCAGAAGTTGGTTGTGGGAAAGAAATCATAGTCTCACGATTCTCATTTGTCTTTTTAAAATAAATAAATATAATTTTTTATAAGTATCTTTTAAAATTAAATATCATCTTTTTTTTTTTTTTTACCTAAAAGTGTATGTCAAGTAAATAAAGAATACAAGTAATTGTAGAATATACCACTTTATCAAGCGGTGCATCGTATATTTTGGTAATTAAATGAACATGTTATCACATTTTTTTTTTTTGAAGGATTACCTCGTTTAATTTTTTTATTTTTAATTAAAAATGTCATTTAATTTTTTATTTTTATTATTTTTATATAATTTTTTGAACTAAAGATTAAAATAAAATTTTCAATCAAACCATCTCTCGTACTGTTAATATTAAATTAAAAGATGTTAATTTCAGTTTTTTAATAATTTAAATGGTCAATAATAACAATATTTTATTATATATTTTTTAATATAATAAATACGTTATTTTTATTAAAAATTACTATTTTAAATGTTTAAAAAGTAAAAGTTAACGAATTTACAACATATTCTCTAATATAATATTTTTAACCAACTTTTGTTATTACACATTAAAAATTACTAAAAATCTTTAAATTACGAATAAAACCCACCAACGTCCTTACCTGTTCTGCTTTCACGGGATCCATATCGAGCCTCCAAGCTACCAAATGTCAACTAATCAGATTCTTTACCTTTCCAAATCACTGTATTTTAAATTAGTTTTTATACAAAAAAATAATAATTAATATTCAGTCTTTAATATTTTTAAAATATAAAAAATTAGTCCCTATTATTGATTCTTTTGTTACTGACCTGTACCTTTTAAAATATTTAAAGATAAATATTGTCAATTTTTAATAAAATTAATTAAAAAGAACAATATTTGTAAAAATGAAAAAAACAATTTCAATTTATGGAAAGAAGATAAGAATTAAAAGTGGGATGAAGAAAGATGTTTGGCCCAAAGCATCAAAATAAGGTAATTAATGCATACTGTAAGGGTCTTAGGAATTGATTTGTTTGTCAGGACATTACTGGCAAAAAGTATTATGAACAAATTTATTTACTATCTAAAAGTGTGGATGGCATTATACATACTCATGAATTCACTGAATCCCCAATTTCTCCATCAAACAGTAACATATGTGGCCTAAAATGAAACACTGCCATGGCAAAGCTTTCTAGTCTACTTTGGTGGTTTGGACCAATCATATCTCTTGGTGGGTTAGGGACAAGAAATTTCAAAAGAGAGGACTAGTTTAAATTTTAATAAAATTGTATATCTAAGATGATATACATTTAATTGCTAATTATTATAATCAATCTATAATATTACAGTTAAGTTGTTAAAATAAACTTGATCTGACGGGTCTATTTATATAATTCATCAAAATTAGTGGTTGAGTTGAGTGATTTAGATTTAATGGTTTGCTTAACTCACCCTGGTTTGTCATGTCAAAATACAGGTCGGAGAAGTTAGTCCGTTAGACTTATTTTTTGTTTTTAAAATTTAAAAATAATTATTTATTAATTAAATATTAATTTTTATTAATATAAAAATATTTTTTATTATTTATTGTAATTTTTTATTTTTTAGTTAGTTTTTACTAAATTAACTTATTAATTTAAAAGTCTACCAGTTAGTTTTTAAAACTTATTAATTTTTTTTATAGGAGAGAGTAGTATGCATTCTTGTACATTTAAAGATCCTTTGCGTGGATGCTGGTTCACCGAGTGGCTTGTTGGTTAATTTCGAATAATTGATTTTGTTTGCATATTCACGGTGGTTCGACTATAACAGTAAAAGCAAAGAGATTAAAGGTTACTTTGAATGCAGTTGGTGAAGATGCTCACAGGAAATAAAACTTGCATGAAGAGTTTTCAAAGTATGTCCGTTTGGTTCGTGTTTGCATTTTCTATTTTTACTTTTTTAAAATAGTTTTCACGTGTTTAGTTTAATTTTTATTTTCTGTTTTTCAAAAACAAAAGATATTAAAAATGTGTTTGGTTTAGCTATTTTTTATAATAATTCATTTAGTTTAAAATTAACTATTAATATTTTATTAATAAGTGATTTTTATAAAATTTTTACAATATATACCTTTACTAATACTAATTTTATTCCACAGTTTATTTAAAAAGTTTAAATACTATCACTATATATTGCATCTTAAGATTCACAAATAATAAAAACATAATAATTAGACCCTGTGTAATGCACAAGTTTTTTTAATATAAATTTTTAATCTTGTATATATTCATTAATTTTAATAAAAATAGGTTTAAGAAAAATTAAAAAGTGTATACTCTTCTCAATTTTGTCTTATTTAATTATGAATATTC